ACCAGCAATCCCTTAATAATGCCTCATAAGTCAATTGACCTTCTTGAAAATATGTTGACTTCATAGCCTCTATGATTTAAACTACAATATAAGAGGAACTCACTGATGAGTGTCAAGAAAAGGCATAGGAAATATTCGTCAAGATCATCAAAAACATCAAACAAGTCCATGTAATTAGTGAGGTTAAAATGGAATATGACACTTTGCTTCAGAGTCTATTGATGTGTATTTCAGAAAATCTATTTATCTAATTCTTGAGATTAAGAGTAGTTCTATCCATTGTCAAAGCCGCATTTTAAATGAAAATGATGAAATTTGGACAAACAAATAGCGCAAGACATGTACAACGATGCAAAACTCTCTGGCGTTTAGTAACCACACAGTTATCCATAGAGGAAAGACTGGACCGAGTCAAGTAGTTCAGCTGTGATTATATAAATATATAGTGATTATCTGAAAGCATTCGCCGAAGACGAAGTGAATATTTTTTAATTATCCCCGGGACGAATTGCACTGGTGCTTTCGAGTTTTGTTGTAAACTTTTTAAATGAAAAAGCCTCGCGCAAATTTTGTTGCAATTGTATTGATTACACGTAAACAGGCAGTTTTACTGGTTTATTCAGCCAATCAGCAAAAACATCTTGCTTCTGAAAAGTGTTGTACCAGACTCAACAGCACTTTTAGTTCTCTTCACAATTGATTTTCCTTTCTTTTGCGTATATGTGGAGGAAGTAATGGAAGTGATAAAGAAAATTCAATTCCTGTTGCTCATTTTTGTAGTTCTGTCTGTTTTCATAGGCCACCAAAAGTTCGCTACACTTGTAGGCTTAACTCCATTACACAATAAATGCCTGTTTCATAGACAATTTATCCTAAATCCACAGTTGCACTTTTAGCAAATCAACGAGAAGTTTATCTTTTGAGATATTTTCCTTATTAATAAACTGTGAAGTTGTAAAGACATATTTTCACTGCAAACATTTTAAATCCAAAGTTAAACTCCTTGAGATTTGTCCTTACCTTATCAACTCAGAAATTGGTAATCATAAGAACGCTAGTACTATGCAAAATAGCTTTGTTTATATAAAGAACATATCCTTGAAGCCATGTTGAAATAAGACGTAGCTGTTTCTGTTATATCAAATTCCTTCTTATGACCCACTAGAGACAAACTTCTTAGAAGATGCCTAAGTTTTAGTATATGCTGACTTTAATGTACAACATAGATACTCACATTGCACGTCAACACTTGCTGTCCGCGAAATAGTCCCACAATCATCAGTGGCCTCACATCTGTATTCCCCAGCTTCACCATTTATAATGTTTTTAATCGTCAAGACATTTGTGGTGGCACGCTTACCGTCAGGTTCGATCCAAAACTGCTCTAGAGGAGGGTCTCCAGATACCTGACATGTCAAAGCTATATCATTCCCCTTAGTTATTGTCTGATTGTCTATTTCTTGTATGGATGGAGGCACTTGGGATTAAGAACCAACAATTATTATTCATTGTATAGCTGGCAGCACCGCGGGCAATGTAAACCGAGTCCTGTGTTCTAAGTGGAGTCTTGAGCGGCAAGATGGATCCATCTTGCTCGCGCAGGATTGCGCGCTTGGATCCCGCGCACGAAGAAAAGTGTATGGAACGGACTTGCAAAGTTCGTAACTTTTGAAATATGACGGCGATAAAATCGTACAAGGGGGAAAGAACACCACCAAAAAAATAAGAAAAAATAAACGACTCTCGTGGGCTTATTGTGCGGCCAACCCAATCGGTTCTTTTTTTTTTCGGCTTTGGAAATAAACAAGACATCCTTCATATAAATTAAGGCGAAATCTTATTGCTCATTTATTAATCCTTTATTTACCAAGCTTTGTTGATTGCTGAATATTGGTCTCGTTCATTTCTTTCGTTTTCATGAACCTCGACTTTGTCTCGTTCCATAAAAACGCAAAAAAAAAAAACCAAACTTGCCAATATTCAGCAATCTTAACCTTAAGCCTGGTCAATAACACGTATGATAAACGCATTTTTTTATGCAGCTCATCCAGTAAAACAAAATGTGCCTAGTTTAGATTACTACCACCTTGTACAGCGAGAAACAAAAAAATTCCAAAGTGGAGATAAGAACTGTCTCATCGATGCAAAGCCGGTAAGAAGATAATTTTAATACCTGTTAGTTTCATACCACCCACACTTGAAGACTGTTGGTCATCGGACATAGTATGACCACATTCCCAATTTGATCAGATTTCAAGTAAAAGTAGGTGTTCAAACGGATTGGGATTGATTCATTGAGTCATTTGCAATAGATAGCTCATATCTCAAAAAGTTCTTCCTGCCTGGATTTGCCAGATAGAACGATATTTTTTAGAATCGTGCTATAAAGCATAGCATGCAATATGAATACTGCTGTTTCATGCAGAGAGGTCGCCCGAAAAGTGCACACGACAATTTCGGGTATCTGGTAATCACTGAATTTTACTAAGTGAAATAAATA